AGTTATTGTCATGACCTTCAGCAGCCTAGATTTACACCAGCAGAAATATTGAAAATAGCTCATGACAACCTTACCATTTTGAATGAGGTATGAGAAAGGCAGAGCCATGGAGAAACATGCTTGGAATGAATTCAGGCAGTATATTCTACTTCTTCTTTTTCTCTACCTACTCAGTGACTAAGAAAAGATGACTATTCACGGTGAAACAAATTTAGCATTTATACTGATGGTGCATTCATATCGAACTCATTACCAGTGCCAAGAGCAGTGGCAGATTCCCTATGCAAAACCGTGCAGGCAATAGCAGTGAAGGGGCCAGCAGTTTGAAGGAGTTTAGCCGAGATTTAACTTTTTTTAAGTCATAATGAAATACAGAGAAAATAAGTTAATACAGTTTTAATATACCGCTAGAAGAATTGTTTATTGTCCTCCTTTACCTCCAACAAAGACACTGACCAGTTGCCATCGCCTCTCCCCACTTTGCACTCTGCCCACCAAGCTTCTCCAATGCGGTGCTGTCCTTCTTTAATCTGTCAATCAGCCAGAGGACTATCATCACTCCAGCGCAGACCCCGACCAGCTGCTGCCTCCCCCCTTCTAAGGTGCTCTCTGATGGCATAGTTCAGCTTTCCAAAACTCTATTGATAAAATCCCTGTCCACAGTTTTGAGTTGAAATAGGAGCTCAGGCTTTTCCTTTTTGATGATGTAGTCTCCAGTGATGACTACAATGAATGGGCATATGCATTATAGAGGCTAGTAGTAAGAAATAAATAGTAAAACACAATAGGTGTGTAATTACCTGCAAAGGTCAGTAAGCATAGAAATACCTGTTTTTTTTTTTTTTTTTCAATTTATCCTTTAAAATCCTTGTTGAAAGGAAAAAAGGTCAGTTGGCTCCTTTATGTTCAGTAGTTCGTCAGTTGATCGGCTCAACTTAACATTTTCATGTGTAAATAGCTGTTTGTAACTTTGTTTAATCTCCATCAAGGCTTTCCAGGGAGCAGAGATATTGCCTCTTTTGCGTGTCAGGGTAAATAAGGGTTAATTTTGATTGAGTCTAAACCTCTGTCAGATGATCATCTATTGAATCTTGTTTCTCTTCTTAATGCTCTGTATGTTTCTAACGGATTGAGGTAAATACAGTGCGCTTGCCAATCAAGTTCACTGAGCCCACAGTCAGATACTGTAGGGGATAGGGCAGTATGGGCAAGTACCAAGCAAAATTGAAAAATATGAAATTCCTGAAATGTGACACATCAGTTGGTGATTTTGTGCCTCTTCATAATTTGCTTTGAATTTGATTCCTATCTATTCCACTATGTCTGATGTCCTCGTCCACTGTCTCTCTGCCCAAGATACCCCATTTCACCCTTAATGACTCCCTGCTAAATTTATTTCTATAGTAGTCATGGCATGACCACAAAACTTAGTACCTGGTAAAGCTTCATATCATATAGTGCCTTATGACAGGTAGCTGTGTTGAGAGCTCTCTTCCACCTATATTTGCAGGAGAGTAGGCAGAGTGGGAGCAGTAGCTATAATTCATATTTCATTGACTCCAATCAAGAGACGCTCAAGAGGAATTAAAACACAGAGGGGTACACCAATACAAATTTGCTTTGCAGCGTAACAACCATGGATGTGCTGCCCCAGGATTCCTTAATCAATCTGTGTCTATCCAAGCTGTCCAAGGTCCCAGAGAAATCTTTGCTGATCGATGAGCCCCTCCTACCTGATTGATTACTCACCTTCTCTGTCTACCCTCTGCACTTATCTTCCTAGTATTTCTGGTAAATTTCAATGAAAGAAAATGAAAAAACCCAAACCACTGTGCACGACCACCTACCAATATCACTTCAAATCTTAAAATATTTTAAATAAGGAGCTCTAAATTACATGCAACATATCTTTTTAGTAAGTGCAATAAGTGGGTGTGTTAAAGGGGACCTACAGAGATTAATGCATAAATGTTAAGACCTACAAACTGATTTGATCCCATTTCATTAATATAAACAGATTGTGTCTTCCAGAGCTAGTTTGAGAGCAGCTGTAAATAAAAAAACAGCATTTAAGCTATGTAGAGCGAGTTTATAATGAGAGAAAATTGTTTTAAAAAGCAATTATCTAAAAGTAAAATATACTTATAAATCAAAGTAGCCCCATCTGTAAGGCTAGGTCTTGATGCTCAATCCTGATTTTTTTTATTGTGAAATCTGATTGTTTTGCTTGGTCATTCAAATTTGAAATTTTATTCAAATTGCAAACTGATCTTTTGTGTGAACTGCATTCATACAACTTAACTGTCGCGCACACACAGTAGAGGACACAGTGACGTCCCAATTAACAAGTGTGCTCTGTGTTTCCATTTTCACAGATCACTACTCAGCTGTCAATAGGAATACAGGCGTGACACATTTTTTTACATACAGAGAAAAATTCTGAATCGAGAGCAGAAACAATCTATTTTTGAGAGAAAATGTTTTCACTCTTATTTAAAAAAAAAACAATATTTGAAAGTTAAAACATCTGTTTTTCGTTTTTTACTGGCTCGTTTATTGTAAAGTGTGCAGAAAGGAAAGGAGGTACAAGAGAGGGGGAAGGACATGCTGCAAAGGCTGGATTTGAACCCAGGTCAGCCACGTCGAGGACTAAGGCAACCATACCGTCCTGCATGCTAACCTCCGCACCACCAAATCACACTTGACCAAGTTTTTTTCCCCTCTTCGAAATCCTTTTCCAGACGTCACTTTATTTTTTATTTATTGTATGAAAAAATATTTACTCTCCAAACTTTTTCTTCAGTATCAATTAATATCACTTTTTGCTGTCGGTGTGAAAATTTGATCTCTACAATATATTTATTTCATTTTCAAAATTTTTTCCACTTTCAGATACCTTTTTATTCTGGAATTTAATAAAATCAGAAAAATAACTTCATTCCTTTGCACCTTCTTTGAAGATCTGCCCTGTTCGTACAAACAAGTTTGCACCTGTTTCAAGACACGCAAACCTTCTAAACCTGTTCTGCTTGTCTGTAATTGTTGCCGATCTAGAGTCAATTTAACAACAAACATGACATCATTCCTCCAAACATGTTGACCTTCACCTGTTTGCCTACAGGGCCAACAGATCCCCTGAAGATGCTTTGAACTCAGCCATTCCTGCTGTGCTGTCCCATCTATAGCAGCAGGGGGGCTACATGCAGCTGCTTTATGTGGACTCTAGCTCAGCATTCACCCCCAGGGCTGACCTAAGCTTCCATTAATCTCCTAATCGGAACTGGATTCTGGGACTCTATTTCTGACATGATATCTACTGTTGCAATCAACTAATGATCAGATCACTCACACACCTACTCATTGCCATGCTGTTTACAGTCTCCTATTTGGTTGCATCATGTAGTGTTAATAAATCTAATAGAATTAACTAATATACAGTTTATTTAAGTAAAAGTGTTACGTGGTTTGTACTTTTTTGTTTCAACTGTGTAGTTGAAGAACAATTACAAACATAACTGATAAATAAAAAAATATATATAATTATTTAAATTGCACAAAAACAAATCTAATTAAATCAATCATGTTCTTAAATAATGGGGAGAAAACAAATCCCTGAAACCAGGTAGAAAATTAAAAGGAGTCTAAAGTTTTTTTCTAACTATAGACAGTAAATATAAATAGTTTTATAGTATATAAAGTAAATGTATGTAAGAATTGGCAAAATTTCTATTTGAAAAATAAATGTTTGACTTTTTTTATGCTTCACTGTTTTTCCTAGATGCTTATCCATCTGTCTTCTCCCGAATTGTTACAACCACAAATTCATGGACACTCACACCTAAGGACAATTTGAAAAACAGTCATGTTTTTGGACTGTTGGAGTGAACCCATGCATGTAGAAAGACCCCAGTCCGGGTCTTTAACCAAGAACCTTCTTGCTGCATGGGAAAAGAGCGAAAAACTGCACTACCATGGAGCCTCCTTAATGCTTATCTCACTCCAAATAACTTTGGCTTTCCAGCTTTCCTTGTAATCTGAGCTAGAAAAAGATCATCTCTGCAGATGCAACAGTCACAGGAAGGGGGCAGACCATCCTGTGGTATCATCTTCAGGGGTCAGTGAGTAAATGAAGTCATCTTTGTTTCTCATCACTATCAGACTGTTCTCCAAAGAGAGGTTTATCTCTCAAAGTGTTACGCTGATCCTCATCTGTGTGTCAATCTGGCCCCAAGACCACTATATTTTTCTTCATGTGAAAGTATTGAATTCAGGGTCACAGCCAGAGGGGTGGCCAGAGGGGCATTTCCTCACAGGCTGGTTGACCAAGCGAGGAACGTCTGCCTGATTTACCTGTATGAAGATCTACAGATTCCTGTTGCATCAGAGCCAAAGGGTCAGACTGGGACCAGTTTACCACAGGGTGCACATGCACACAGAGCTCTATTCTTACACATAAATCACTTCTTCCTTCCACTAAATTTACCATGGGTATGCTTGCCGCCCATGTTTTGCTTAACCTGTTTGGAGGAGAAAATTTAAAATGACAAAATTTTATATAGGCCTAGCTTCTAGACTGAATTTCTGAGCCTGTATAAGCATTACCAAAAGGTTATCTAACTACTCATAAACGCCGTTAATAAGACATGCGGCTCCCATTTGGTTAAATGAGTAACAATGTTGATGCATTTTATTATTGATATAAAATCCTAAATGACACAGTTTGACTCATACTGAATCATTCATGAACAATAAAGTGGTCATCTGGCTTATACCACCTCCGGTTCTTTGGAAAGCAGCGCTTCACTCTGGCCTTTCTCATCCCCACCTGTAAAATCCAGACTTCAGGAACCGTGAGCAACCTGTTCCTCCCTCTGCCATCTGTTTACACTCGCAGCAGTGAGATTGATGTGAAAGCAGCTCGTCAGAGGGCGGCTCTTTGGTTGCATTTTACGCATCATAAAGACTTAACTCCCTCCCTCTTCCCCGCTGTTGCGCGCTGCTCCGCTCAGTGTCTGGATCTATGCCGTAGCCAAGAGAGAACAGGCTGTGCATGCTTCTGACTGAAACAGGGTGCAACGATTGAATTAGATTAGATTTCTTGTCCGTTTTCCTCGCTGCCACTCTCCTCTGATATATATATATTTTCTCCTCTGCTTGGATACCGTGGACTTAGGCATTGGATATGTGCACAAAGGATGATGAAAACCCCTTCCCTCACCGTAGAAGTAAAATAAAATAGGCTTTCGCACACACCGGATTTACTCCTGCCATTCCATATGAAGAAGTCAAAAGTAAGTGCCAGTTTTATTCCAGGGTTGGTTGTTTTGGGGGGGCGGGTTATGAGGAAATAAGCTGTCAGAGCTGCGGATACAGCGGGACGCCTTTCTGCTGCTCCTACTGACTCTTAACTTCAGCACTTTTTCTAACAGATCACTGATATCAGAGCAAGCTGGTTAACTCTGAGTGATCATAAAGTCAAGGAAAGCATTAAACCTTCTTGATTGACTTTAGAAATAGTCTAATTAAGGCTACTTGGCTGCCATGTGGAAGTATTGAGGCAAACCCACCTTTTTTTTTATTTTCACCACGTTTATCTAAAAAAAAAAAAAGAAAGAAAGAAAGAAAAGAAAAGAAAAGAAAAGCATATCCCTGCAGATTTATCACTGATTATGTTAGATTTTTCGATCGGTTCATTGTGCGTCCCGGATCGCCGCTGACAAGTATTCTGCTCCCAAAACGCGCACATCGGCAGTGCCATTGATTTGTATTTTCCTGCATATAGATTATGCAATCCTCCTAACCCCCAGGTAAAAACACAACGATGCAAAGGTTTGAAACTATGTGGATCCTTTCTTTCACGCTGCCCCTTCGCTTCTGTAAGCAGGGGTTGGATGAGTTCGCCAGGGCCATCTTAGGTTGACAGCCGGGCCAAGCAGTGACACTTTAATCTTTGAGCCTGACTTCAACATTTTCTAACTTGTACTGTTATTTCAGAAGGATTTTAAAAGATAAATATATTTTATATTGCATATAACCCCCCTCCCCCCATAAAAAAAAACGTTTTATCTGCGTCTTGTTTTCAACTCTTTAAACCTTCTGAAGAGCCTAATTGCGTAAATTTCACTGCGTCCCCTGCTCTAATGGGCAACATGACGGCCTCAACACTGTTAGAGTAATATAGTCAAAAAAGCGCACTAGAAGGCATCTGAGGTTAACTTTCCAAGTGGCTTGCAATCCGTACGCACATTTTTTTTTTTTTTTTTTGCGCTGTTTGTGTTCAAAATCTCTTAATGAGATTTTAACATTAAAAGAACATAAGCCGTGTTAATGTGGATGTAGTATCAACCAGAGCAGTGTACGTGATGGTGTGCATGCAGAAAGGGTAGAAAGAGAAGCGTTTGAAGTCTTAGGACTGGGTGGGCATCTCAGTATCTGGGTGTTATAAGCAGCTCTGCTTTTATGAGTCCTAATGAGTTTAGACAATATTGAGTTGTGAGAGGGCTACAGCTTGAACAGAGACATTTAATATATAAATATACAGAGAGAGAAATATGCAAAAATTGTGTATCAATTTAAGCTCAAGTATTTAGAGTATATGAACACCTCTGGCATGGGGAATGCCTACATCTGTCCAGGAGCACGTCTAGGCCTCCACACAAGACCACTAGGGGGCGCTTGTTTCCCGACGCCTGCTGTATTGGGATTTGTTTTATCTCTATTTTTTTTCTTCTTCTTTTTTTGGTAGGGGTGTGTGATAGGGTTACAAAGGCAACGCGTCTTTCAACGGAGCTTTGAGATAGAAAGAAATAAACAAAAATTATCAGAAAAGATTAATGACATGCTGGAATTATAAATTATGATAAAATTAATCATTGCTGATTGTTTTTCACTGGTCTAATGTAAATAAATCCAATTAGGTGCATGTAGCCATGCTTGTAAAATCCCTTTCTCTTTTTGTGTCTGACATGCTCAGTCGATTTCTTAAAAAAAAAAAAAAAAAAAATGAAAAAGCACAAAAATATAATTGTGAAACTTGGTATTTTTAAGTAGCTCAGACTTTAAAGTCTCAGATTATTTCTGCATCTTGTTTGAATTTTTGCTCAGCAGGATGAATCCTCATCTCTATCACCGGTGAACGGTTTTGTTCCTTTTATGGGTTTGTGATTCTCTGCTTAGTACTTCTAAAACTAAATATAAATAAAGATATATTTAGAATTGTTTTTGACAGTTTCATTTATAGCTATTAACGGGAATATGAAGTGCAGTCTGAATTCATTCTTTTATTATGAACTCTCTTGCATTGTATGATTTCATGATAATAATATAAATAATAATACATTGTATTTGTATTGCGCTTCTTAAAAACTCATGAACTTTATTGTAATCGATCAAATTACACAGTAATTCCACATTTGAGCTCAGGAGACAAAGCCAAAGGGCTTTACAACATTGGATGAAAGACAGAGTACAGGTTTCTCTGCTCTGTGTAAGAAACAGGGATCTGCTATAGAAGCTGACATCCAATTTGTATCTGATATAATTAAAAGCAATCACTGCCCTCAGTCTCATTTAATATGTTCTGTTTTAAATCCACTTACAACATTTGTTTGATGCCTCATTATTTTTGAAACATGTATCTCCTTTTTGTTAATAAAGGGAAATCTCTTAGAGATGGATTTAGCACAGCTGTTCATATAGTTGTCTCTGCTGGTTCTATTGTATGTGAGAAGTTGACATCAACGTTTTGTTATTTTTATTTGAAAAAAAACAAAACAAAAAACTAACATACCCATGAGAACTCCTACAATTTTCAGGATCTGTTTTGATATTGTAACTGGTCAATATTGGTGTTAGCCAGCACTTGCAGGTACAACATCAGTATCATTATAGAAATGTTGAAATTATCTTGGGAAATCGCTAATATTTAGTCTTTTGTTTATATGACACCATCACGTTTTGGTTTATCACTTATCTTCTGCAAACATACTATTGGGTAGGAAGTATTAAATGTAACTATTATCTGGTTTTAAAGGCAGGTATATCTGAGGATCATCTTTGTAACATTGAAAAGACATCATGTTATACTAACTCAGTGGTACTATGTAAGTGGGAAAAGTAGGGGGCAAGAAGGGAACCCTGTGGCACACCATGTAAATGTAGATCCTATATATTATTAATCACAATTTTAAAAGAGTTGTTTGTCAGATAAGATGATACAAGTAATGATAACTAATTCTATCTTCCAAACTTATGTTTAATTATCTTTTACTAATTTTTTTACGTGTTTTTGGTTAAATATTATTGTTGCTGTGTTATAGATGCAAGCTGTTACACTAAATTTCACAACTAAATTCTGTTTTTATTTTAAACCCCACCTTAAACAGGTTAAGACATTGGAAGATTTTGCAAAGGAGTTATTTAAAAGCACAAATGGCCTGAAAGAGGAGTCCGCCTCCAAAGCAGTAGGTCATCAGATCTAGTGCTCATGCAATGTAGGCTCACTTTACTCCTCCTTTATACATGTCGCCCTGGCATGCTGAGAACCAACACATAACATCAGAACCTCTTAAGAAAACACAACTTTATACTGCCCTGCAGGAAAGAAAAATGTTTGCTTCTTATGTGCAGATCAAAAGGCCATGAGGGACACAAAAGGAGAGACATGGAGCACTGCATCATTACATTTATTAAATCACACTTTTCCAGAAACACAGAAGGTGGGCGCAATATCAACAACACTTCTGTGTTTGAATTACATATACTGCTAATCATATGTGAATGAATTAGTCAGCTTGCTAATGAGATTAGAATAACAGCAGGAAACAGCACAGGAAGATAGTGTTTGGGCCGAGGGTTCCAATATCTAGTGTTTTAGCTGTACTCTTGCACTCTGCAAGTCATACTCCTTCCACATTCCTGGTTAATTATCTCAGTAAACATCAAAGATGATTTATGATCTTGGAGCCAGGTCTGAAGCCAATAAATGACCTCGGCACTCCGGCAATTACTATTGTTCTCTTGTTATGAAACCACAATAAAAGAGGTCACGTTAAAGAAGTGTTCATCTCTCAGAGCTGCATCTCAGATAGTTCTCATTACTCATGTGGCATTTATTCCCTGTGTTTGTCAGTCTGTGTCTGGTTAACTCCATCTATGCAACTTAATTGTGTATCAACCTTCCAACTGGAAGCAAAGTCTGTCTTTTATCTTTTAAAGTGGAGTCTAACTTTGGTTTCTTTGAAAGTCTTGTATTCTATGTTTTGTGGAGATAACAGCTTGATTTCAAGGATACTTTTCACTTTAATTTTAGAATGTAGACAATTATCAGTTTATTATTCGTAGCTAAGCATCCTTCTGCACCCCAGAGCCTTCTGCCTACATGATGATATCTAGCACCCAAAGGACTGTGCCAGAGTTTCAGGCCTCGGTTATTTTGATACAAATTTAAAAAAGCATGAAAAAATCTGACAGCTTTTAATGAAAACTGAAAAGTGGCCTTTATTCTTACTGTGTAATGTGGGTTTTTGATCTAATAAGTATATATTTATATGCATTGTTTGTTATTTTTTACTGGAAAAAATATTCACCAAAATTTTTTATCCAGATTTTAAGTACCATTGTACCTTTTTTATATATCATGCTGTCCTGTCCTATGCTCATTGTCTGCGTTGCCTTCAGAGTTGCAGCCTCATGCTGCTACATCAGGGTTACTGTCAGTTTTATATGACAGGTTAGACCCTTTTAAGGGTTAAAGAACAGCAGCTGATTAAATTCATGGTTTTTCAGGAGTTCCAAAATCTTTTTGGTGCTTTTGGTGTGGTCAGTTAACAGGAAGTCTAACAAAGGCCTGCAGTATTCATGACCTCAAAAAAATTGTGTTTGACGCTCCTTCAGTTTATCGCAATCGATCTTTATGAGAAAAAGAACAGTTTGAAGAATTTTTCCAGCCAATTAAACACAGAGTGCAGCAAGTGTGGTGGAAGGGCTCATTTAAATCTTGGTGTTTTTGAATGCAAGAAGGGATCTGCTTCTGCTATAACTATTAGCTCTGTTTAACAACCATGTTTCACTCAGTTATATTCATTACTTACCATAGCCTCTTATCTACTCGAACAAAGAGAGGAGGAGACATTATTGTAGAGCAGTTGGCAAATTAGCAAATAGCCGAACATGAAAGGCTGGTTACCTATTAATTCCTGATAATTCCAAGTCATAGCAAATTAAGCCAACTGGTCGCTGTGGAGATGAGGCACTACTGTACAAACTTTGATTTGATTTGATACTCACTCTC